TCTCCATATTGGTCAGGCTGGTCTTGAACTCTCGACCTCAGGTGATCTGCTCTCCTCAGCCTCCAAAGTGCTGGGATTAAAGGTGTGAACCACCATGCCTGACTATTCTGTCCTCTTTTAAAGGAGCTCCAGACACCAGTGAGCCAAAGGAGCTCTCTGGGGAGCACTGTGGCCTGGAAACACGTGCCTGAGACACCACCCCTCAGAGGCTCCCAGGCTGATGTCTTCTTCCAGGCTCATCACCTGCTGGCCACCACCCCAACTCCTTTTCCAGAGCTGTTCCACCCTCCCCTGCCTTCTGCCTGTAGCCTTCAGATTTCTTGAGCCTATTTTCTATCATTATTAACATGGTCTTTGTTAGCATTTCATGATTTTTTTCATACCTTAATTCCTGTTATTGGACGTCCTGGCGTACTGATGTCTTCTGCTTTGGATCACACATAATAAGCATCTGCGTTGAAATGCCCAGCATGGTGCCTGCCAGACAGTAGGACTTCAGTACCCATTAATGGGATCTGTAATGATGTTTCTGTCAAGGAATGTCACATTGCACTGTCTTTGGGGACACATCTGAGGCTGTGACACATCCCGCTCATTCCCTTAAACACTGACAGCTCTCACACGGTGCCAGGTCTTATGCTGGGTGCTGGGGACACACGGCTGGATATCTTGGAAGGCAGGAGAAAAGGAGGGGGCATTCTGGAGCTGGGCTGTGTTGGCAAGTCTGGTGTGGGGGCGCTGTGACACAGTTGGGGATGAAGTAGCAAAGCCAGGCCGGGGCAGCTCATGGGTGGCTTCTGAGGCTGAAACTGCAGGTGGCCACGGAGCTCAGAGAAGGGGCCTGGCACGTGAGAGATGAGTTGGTGAGATAATCCAGGCAGGCAGAGCCTGCGGGAGGACTTGGGGTCTTGCAGAGATGGCAAGTTTTGGCAGGTGGCAGGAAGGAGGAGCCGAGAAGGATGACTGGGGATGTACGTTTGCAGAGGTTGCGCACAGAGAAGGGGGTGCATGCTCTGCCCTCTGGGAACTTGCAGAGAAGAAGACAAAGGAATTCCTCCAGTTCGTGCAAGGAATCCCCACACCCACTCCCCAGGGATGCAAACTTCTAGGACTTCAGCAGCTCAGTGAGTTCTCCAGTCCCTGGAGAACCTCCATGACGGTGTGTCTGCCTGGAATGGAAGGGCCGCCCATCTGCTCTTCACCCTCCTCTGCTCTCCATCATCCTTCTCCTTTTCCTTTCTGTTTGGGCAGCATTAAGGAGGGCATAGACCGGACTGTCCTGGGGATTCTGGTGTCTTACCAGATCAAGGTGAAGCTCACGGTGTCAGGGTAAGTGTCCCCGTACCAACCCTCGGGCCGCTCTGTCCTGGTCCTAGATGGTCTGAATTGTTCTTTCCTGAATGACAGGGAGACAGAATGCAAGGAAAGACCCACAGCTTCCACTGGATCACCAAGTAGAGCTTGGGAGAGGCTCTGTTTGTCTAGTACCAAGCTTCTATCCGAGAAAATGTCAGGTGGGAAGGGGTGGAGAAGCAGACTCTGAACTGGGTGCACACTTAGTGGCACTTTGCAAAACACGTGTGCATATGTGCACGTGGTGGAAGTTGATGTGCAAGAGTGAAGATTAGTCAAATGTTATCCTTCAGAAAAGAGTGACTGCTGTGAAATAACTCAGAAAATCTCCATGTATTTGCATCTTAGAAAGTATCCAGCCATAAAGTGGGGACTTTCCCTTCCCTTCTCACACTTGTAATCACAGGGCATAGGAGACTCCTTTTCATACAAGAAGGCCAATATCCAAATTTTAAGGAAACAGGTCTCTGCTTTTATTTTCATGTGAAGCCGATTTCTTCCATTTGTTTAATCTTACCAAAAGGGAATAAGTTGAGTTTTCATTTTTGTTTCAAATTCCAGTGCCAAAGGCTCTGGCCTGTTACCTGGATGAGCCTTGGGGTAGTTCTGCCGTCAAAGCGAGTCTGTGTCTTGGTTTCATATTTCTAAGTAGTAAAGAATTCCCTTGGGTAAAATAAGGGTTAAAAAAAAAAAAGAGTTGCCCAAATTTCTAACGAAGTAGAACATGAGTCTGGTTTGCATTTTTGTTAGCACAGTGTTTGTTTTATTTTTCACAGTGGATTCTCCATAAAAGGATCTAAAAACAGGGCGGAGTTTCTTTAAGCAGTCAAGAAAAGCAACCAGCAAGTATTTCACAATGACCTCTGTGACTTATCTTGAATGTTAGGGCTTGACTGTTTTTTAAATTTATTTTAAGATGGAGTCCCACTCTGTTACCCAGGCTGGAGTGCAGTGGTGCGATCTCAGCTCACTGCAATGTCCGCCTCTTGGGTTCAAGCAATTCTCCTGCCTCAACCTCCAAGGTAGCTGGGATTACAGGTGCCTGTTACCATGCCTGGCTAATTTTTGTATTTTTAGTAGAGACGGGGTTTCACCACGTTGGCCAGGCTGGTCTCCAACTCCTGACCTCAAGCGATCCACCAGTCTCAGCCTCCCAAAGTGCTGGGATTACAGGCATGATCCACTGCGGCCGGCCTTTTTCAACTAACCATCTTGAGAAAGAGATGATGTCACAGGTAGAGAGGAGGAATGAGGTTGAACATTAAGGGATGCAGAGACCCTGGAGGTTGTGAGTTAGGGAGTGAGGACCATGAGAGCGAGGTTGTGTCCTACCTCTGAATCATAGGAAAGGGTTGCATTACCACTGTGACAGTTACCACAGGCATCTGTTTTGTGTTTCCTAGCTTTCTGGGAGAGCTCACCTCCAGGTAAGCCTGTTCACCTCCCCTCTTTGCTTATTTCTCAAAATATCAAAGGCAGCAAACCTGGGGCTCCAGAGCAGTTTCTGGTAAAAGCTGCTTTCTGGGCAACTGTGCTCAGAGGTGCTAGGAATGACGCTTTGCCTTCAGATGCCTCACAGAACTGTGACTCACAGGCATTTCTTTGGGACCACAGCTAGGCCTACACCTGGGTAAGGACACATACATATGCACCCAGAAAACTGGCACACTCCACGTGGCCAACTTGTGTGTGTGTCTGTGCGTGTGTGCGTGCATGCACACGTGTATATGGTAAAATACACATAACATAAATTTTACCATTATATTTGTTTATTTATTTATTTATAGATGGAATCTCACTCTGTCACCCAGGCTGGAGTGCAGTGGTAGGATCTTGGCTCACTGCTTCCTGAGTTCAAGTGGTCCTCCTGCCTCAGTCTCCTGAGTAGCTGGGATTACAAGTGTGTGGCATGACACCTGGCTAATTTTTGTAGACAGGGTTTCACCATGTTGGCCAGGCTGGTCTTGAACTCCTGATCTCCAGTGATCCTTCTGCCTTGGCCTCCCAAAGTGCTGGGACTACAGGTATGAGCCACCATACCTGGCATAAATTTTACCATTTTAACCATTTTATTTTATTTTTTGAGATGGAGTCTTGCTCTTTTGCCCAAGCTGGAGTGCAGTGGCATGATCATGGCTCACTGCAACCTCTGCTTCCTGGGTTCAAGTGATTCTCTTCCCTCGGCCTCCCAAGTAGCTGGAATTACAGGCACACACCACTATGCCTGACTAATTTTGTAATTTTAGTAGAGATGGGTTTTTACCGTGTTACCCAGGCTAGTCTTGAATTCCTTACCTTAAGTGATCCACCTGCCTTGGCCTCCCAAAGTGCTAGGGTCACAGGTGTGAGCCACTGCGCCTGGTCTTCACCATTTTAAAGTGCACAATTTGGTGACGTTAAGCATGTTTATGCTGTTATGCAACCATCACCACTATCCAGTTCCAGAACATTTTTATCACCCAAAAAGGAAATCTCACCCCCATTAACCAGTCACTCTCCTTTCCCCTCTCTATAGTCCCTGGCATAACTGCTAATCTGTTTCTATCTCTGTAGATTTGCCTGTTCTGGATATTGTGTGTAAATGGATTCATACAATATGTGGCCTTTTGTTACTAGTTTCTTTCACTTAGCTTAGTGTTATTAGCATAAGGTGTATCCATGTTGTAGCATGTACTAGTACTCCAATCCTTTTTATGGCTCAGTAATATTCCATTGCATGGATATACCACATTTTGTTTATCCCATTCAACTATTGATGGACATTTGGGTTGTTTCTACCTTTTGGTATTGCAAATAGTGATGGCTGCCTTTTAAATTATGCACAAAAAAGCGGCAAGTTAAGAAATGTTTGAGACAGGCATTAAGCTTATGTCCCCCATCATCCCAACTCTTCTCATCTCCTTCCCTCACCTGGAGCCCAGGTTCCACCTTTACTTTTAGACCTAGCTGCTCCTGGGTCTGATGAGTGTGCTTCATTATAAAAAGAGGTGCTTGGTCTGGAGGTAAGCCTTGGGTAGAAGGCCCTGGGTCCTGGGTGAAGTGAGGAGTAACTCTGGTTTTTTGATCTCCTCTCCCCACCTTTCTATTTGTCCTTTCTCTAAATTTCCCTTCTACTACCTTCCTTTGTTTTTGTTTTTTTGTTTTTATTTTTCAAACAGAGTCTCACTTTGTTGCCCAGGCTGGAGTGCAGTGATGCAATCTTGGCTCACTGCAACCTCCATCTCCCTGGTTCAAGCAATTCTCCTGTCTCAGCCTCCTGAGTAGCTGGGATTACAGGCGTGCATCACCACACCTGGCTAATTTTTGTATTTTTATTAGAGACAGGGTTTCACCATATTGGTCAGGCTGGCCTCGAACTCATGATCTCTGCTGAACCACCGCACCCGGCCCTTCGTTTTATATAAATTCCAAGGCTGGGCATGGTAGCTCATACCTGTAATCCCAGCACTTTGGGAGGCTGAGGTGGGAGGATCACTTGAGGTCAGGAGTTTGAGACCAGCCTGACCAACATGGTGAAACCCTGTCTCTACTAAAAATACAAAAATTAGCTGGGGGTGGTGGCTCACGCCTATAATCCCAGCTATTCAGGAGACTGAGGCAGGAGAATTACTTGAACCCGGGAAGTGAAGGTTGCAGAAAGCTAAGATCATGCCATTGCACTCCAGCCTGGGCAGTAAGAGTGAGATTCCATCTCAAAAAAAAAAAAGTTTGTTTACACTGTGTTAAAAAAAAAATACAAGTCACCCCACAGCCCTTTAGCTTTTGGAATTCAGTGGATCATGCTCATCTCTGTTCTGCCCTGTAGCAAGAGATTGTGCCCAACCAGCAACATAACAGCCTTGCAGAAATTTTAACATATTAAACATGGTGTACATTGTTGCGAAGAATGTATTTTAAAAATCCTTTCTCCAGGATTTCACCTCTTCTCCACCCCCAATATCACGGTACCTCCTAAATAGGAGTAAGGGAAACCTAAATAGACTAGCTGCCTTAGCCATGTCTGTGTAAGTGAAGTGACTGGAATACCTTCACAATTTCTACTTGATCATTTCTGTTTTGTTTTGTTTTGTTTTAAATCCCACTGCAAGCTGGGCATGGTGGCTCATGCCTGTAATCCCAGCACTTCGGGAGGCCTAGGCAGGTGGATCACCTGAGGTCAGGAGTTCGAGACCAGCCTGACCAATACGGTGAAATCCCATCTCTACTTTTTAAAAACACAAAAATTAGCCAGGCATGATGACATGCATTTGTAGTCCCAGCTACTTGGGAGGCTGAGACAGGAGAATTGCTTGAACCCGGGAGGTGCAGGCTGCAGTGAGCCAAGATTGTGCCACTGCACTCCAGCCTGGGCAACAGAGTGAGACTCCCATCTTAAAAAAAAAAAAAAAAAAAGGCCGGGCATGGTGGCTCAAGCCTGTAATCCCAGCACTTTGGGAGGCCAAGGCGGGTGGATCACGAGGTCAAGAGATCGAGACCATCCTGATCAACACGGTGAAACCCCGTCTCTACTAAAACTACAAAATATTAGCTGGGCATGGTGGCGCGTGCCTGTAATCCCAGCTACTCAGGAGGCTGAGGCAGGAGAATTGCCTGAACCCAGGAGGCGGAGGTTGCGGTGAGCTGAGATCGCGCCATTGCACTCCAGCCTGGGTAACAAGAGCGAAACTCCGTCTCAAAAAACAAAACAAAACAAAACAAAACAAAAAACAAAAAAACAGAACAACAACAAAAAAAAATCATACTGCATTGTCTTTCATCTTGGGCCTGGGGATCTTTTGTGATCTCTGCAGCCATAGGTCTTTGCTGGTTGTTTATAAAAGTGTGTATGTCTGTGTGTGTGTGTGTGTGTGTGTGTGTGTGTGTGTTCTCACCAATCTTCATTTTTTTTTTTCTAGTGAAGTTGCCACTGAGGTCCCATTCCGCCTCATGCACCCTCAGCCTGAGGACCCAGGTCAGTTATGTCAGTTTTTGGCTTTCTTTAGTTATTTACTACTTGCAGATTTATTATTGATTTATTTCTAGTCCTTCTTGACCATACCTCAGAGCATGGGAATGGCCAGGTATAAGAGATTCCATGTCATCTACAAGGCAATAGTCTGGTGGGAAGGGAGTCTGTTCAGTGCTGAGCCGGGTAGTTTATCCTTGCTCCTGGACAGCAACAATCTCCTTAGGTTTTATCAAGAACGATTTAAAAGCAGAAGCTCTGCTGTCAACAGACCTGGATTTAGACTTAAAGATGATTTAGGTAAAAACTTAATTTGAGAGCACGAGGCTTTTACATTTCATTTGGAAATGAAAGCCTTCATGTTTCATTTGAGAACATTAACAGGCATTTAAAAGAAGATAATTTTTTTTTTGAGACGGAGCCTCACTCTGCCACCCAGTCTTCTGGAGTGCAGTGGCATGATCGAGCTCACTGCAGCCTCGACCTCCTGGGCTCAAACCATCCTCCTACCTCAGCCTCTGAAGTAGCTGGAACTACAGGCATGCCACCACCTATAGCTAATTTTTTTGATTTTTAGTATCTTACCATGTTGCTCAGGCTAGTCTTGAACTCCTGAGCTCAAGTGATTCTCTTGCCTCATCTTCCCAATGTGCTGGGATTACAAGCGTGAGCCACCTGGCTGAAGACAACTGTTTTTTGTTTGTTTGTTTGTTTGTTTGTTTTTTTGAGATGGAGTCTCACTCTGTCACAATCTCGGCTCACTACAACCTCCGCCTCCTGGGTTCAAGTGATTCTCGTACCTCAGCCTCCCAAATAGCTGGCATTACTGGTGCCCACCACCACACCAGGCTAATTTTGTATTTTTATTAGTGAGGGACTTTCACCATGTTGGCCAGGGTGGTTTTGAACTCCTGACATCAGCTAATCCACTGCTTCGGCCTCCCAAAGTGCTGGGATTACAGGCATGAGCCACTGCGCCCGGCCTGAAGATAACTATTTTTGACAGTGGCAGTTATGGTAAGGATACAAAAAATACTAGAAAAGAGGATCAGGCTGGGTTCCTGACACCTCAGCTCATTTGAATTGTAAATCTACTGGCTCTTGTATGGATGTGACATGAGCAATAGTTGTATGACTCTGAGAACATACTAGAAACCACTGGACTGTTCACTGTGAAAAGGTAAATTGTGTGGTATATGAATTTGATCCGAATCACTCTCTTTCTAAAAAGGTAAATGAAGCAGCAAAAATAATATAGGTGCAATCTCAGAAATTCTGAAGAAACATTCTCTTTGCGTGAAGGCAGCTTAGTTGACAGGAAAGGAAAAGAGATCTGTCTAAATGAGAACTCTCCACCGGTACAGGAATAAGGACTGCTTTAAGTGAAAGTGGTAAACAAGCAGTGTTTATTTTTCTCAGACTTTACAAATAACTTTTCTATATTGATAGTCAGATGCCATTTAAACATTAGAATGAGTCCCCCTCCCATTCATTTTAGGTTTTGTCCCAAAAACCTGGGATTACAGGCATGCACCACCACGCCCGGCTAATTTTGTATTTTTAGTAGAGATGGGGTTTTGCCATGTTGGCCAAACTAGTCCCAAGCTCCTGGCCTCAGGTGATCTGCCCACTTCAGCACCCAAAGTGCTGGGATTATAGGTGTGAGCCACCATGCCCGACCTGACTTGCTTTTTAAAGATTCTTTCTCCATATACAACTTTCATGTTCCAGCCATTATGGCCTTGACAGTGAACATATCACAGTGTCAGGATAAAACAATGATCTTTTGTACTATGAGATTTCTGGGAGCAAAGGTTAAGACAAATCACCTCATGGTTGCACAATTCTGATTTCTAGAGATAGATGAGTCACCAAACGTCATCTCTCCTGTCTTCTCTGCCTAGTCCTCGGCTCCCTGAGTCTAGGCTGGTAAGATTCTAAGCAGAGAAAGCATGAGCTGTATGTAGTTAGCCCTGCTGGAGCCTGGGGGCCAAGTAATTTGTGTGTAATAAGTGCCGTGACATGCTACCAAGCTTTTATTGTTCCCTGTCGAGAGCATCTCTACTGAACCAGAAGATGCTGATTTGATTCTTCCTTATTGCCTACCTCTTCAAGGCTGATGGTCCCACTTAGTGTAATTTCCTTGCTTGGCACTGTGGGCTGCAGAGTATTTCTTGCCCAGGGAATGTTTTGACAAGCTAGCCTCTCTAGGGCCCTGTATGTAGCGACCCTCATAGACACTCTCTCCCAGTGCTGGCTGCCAGCTGGGCACCAGAGACGAGAGCAGGAGCTCACCATCAAATCACCACTGTGCTCCCTAAAACTAGGTGGGCAGAAAGCTAAAAAAAATAAAATAAAAGACACCAAAAAAAACCCCCATTCATATTAATAGCAATTAGTCTGGGGATATAAAACATGTGAAAACCCAACAGCAACAAAATCAGTGTGTTCACAGAAATGGAAAACTGTGTGGCTGGGATTGGTCCTCAGCTTTAATGCACCCCCTAACCCTGGGATGCTGGGGAACGTCAAGTCCCAGGTCTCAGCCCTCCGAAGCCTGACAGACGGAGGTGGGCAGGGGGCACACTCTCATAGCACCCTGGCGACTCTGGCCTCAATGGTCCACAGGACACAGAAGGAGAAATACTTTGAAAGGAGAAGTGACTGGCCGGGCGCAGTGGCTCATGCCTGTAATCCTAGCACTTTGGGAGGCTGAGGCAGGTGGATCACTTAAGGTCAGGAGTTTGAGACCAGCCTGGCCAATGTGGTAAAACCCCATTTCTACTAAAAATATAAAAATTAACCAATCATGGTGGTGGGCACCTGTAATGCCAGCTACTTGGGAGGCTGAGGCAGGAGAATCACTTGAACCCAGGAGGTGGTGGTTGCAGTGAGCTGAGATTGCACCATTTCACTCCTGCCTGGGCAATAGAGTGAGACTCTATTTCAAAAACTAAATAAATAAAAAATAAGAAAGGAGAAGCAACATCAAAGGGGGCAAGGCTGATCAGGGAAAGCATCCTAGAGGCGAGACTGAGGGGGATTCATTTGAGGAAGTGAGGGTTGCGGCACATTGTAAAGGAAGCAGTGGTTTAAAATACAAGGAGAGGCCGGGCATGGTGGCGCATGCCTGTAATCCCAGCACTTGGGAGGCCGAGGCGGGCAGATCACTTGAGGCCAGAAGTTTGAGATCGGCCTGGCCAACATGGTTGAAGCCAGGTCTCTACTAACAATACAAAAATTAGCCAGGCATAATGGCGAATGCCTGTAAGCCCTCCTACTCGGGAGGCTGAGGCATGAGGATGTCTTGGAACCAGGAAGCAAAGGTTGCAATGAGCCGAGATCGTGCCACTGCATTCCAGCCTGGGTGAGAGAGCGAGACTTGGTCTCAAAAATAAAATAAAATGCAAGGAGAAAAGCTGTTGAAGTGGGAAAGGCAGGGAGGCAAGAATTACATGCAGTGATCATGAATTACTTATATCTAAGCCTTATCTCTCGAACTGTAGCATCACCTAAAAGGTAGACATTTTCTAGGTACAGCTTTGATATAGAATTTATACTAACAGATCTCTCTCTCTCTCTCTCTCTCTCTCTCTCCCCCCCCCCCCCCCCCCCCCCCCCTTTATTCCATGCTTACAGCTAAGGACAGGTGAATGAACCTTTTGAACGTGGCCCTGACTTGCCCTGTGTCCTGGGACCTTCTCCTCCAGCACAGACCCCTCTTTGAGCCTTTGCGCATATCCCAAGCTCTCAGCCGGCTCAGGAGGCACATCCGCTACTTCCCTTCCACTCCCTAGAGCTGAAGGCGTGCACATTCCATTACACTGAGTGTGCTTGCTCACTCTGCAGGTGCCTTCGTTCTCTCCCATTGGTGCTAGTTAAAGGAACTTTAAACGAAGCCATGAGGAAAATGGCATGCTCCCATGTTCTATCATGGGGAAAACCTTGATCAGTTCTTTTGTTGCAAAAAGATCAAGGATCTTGTTCCAGTTTCAGCATCAAAGAGCGTGCAATGATCAAAATGTTGTTTGTTTTATTTTAGTTATCAGGATGCAAATTTAGTTTTTGAGGAGTTTGCTCGCCAGAATCTGAAAGATGCAGAAGCTGAGGAGGGGAAGAGAGACAAGAATGACGATGATGAGTGAAGGCGTCGGCTCAGGGTGCCGGGAAATGGCCTGTAGTTACCAGTGCAACGAGCAAAGCCCCACAGTTTAGTCCTTTGGAGTTATGCTAAGTACGAAAAGATGAGTCTTCTTCCGGGAAATAAAGCTTGTCTGTTCTCCCCTGGGTCATGAGTTGATTGATTTGTTGGGGAGGCTGAGTTGATGACATGACACAGAAATGGCCACCTTTTGGGTCCCTGGAGTGGAGGCTGGAGAGGAGGCCAGCCTTCCACAGAAGGGCTCACTGCTGGTTCATCAGGGAGAGAAGGTATCTTGAAATCAATGTGCTCACCAGGTGGGGCCCTTGGTGTGTCCAGGGGCTTTCCCAGGGGTCCCAGTCTGAGCTGTTTTTCTGGGAACAGTGTGTATGTTTCTTTTCTTTTTTTTTTAATTTTTGAGACAGAGTGTCCCTCTTGTTGCCCAGGCTGAAGTGCAGAGCTGCGATCTTGGCTCACTGCAACCTCCACCTTCTGGGTTCAAGTGATTCTCCTGTCTCAACTTCCTGAATAGATGGGATTACCGGCATGCCACCATGCCCAGCTAATTTTTTGTATTTAGTAGAGACAGTTTCCCATGTTGGCCAGGCTGTTCTCGAACTCCTGACCTCAGGTGATCTGCCCACCTCACCCTCCCAAAGTGCTGGGATTACAGGCCTGAGCCACTGCCCACAGCCCAGTGTGTATGTTTCTAATTACCTGACCCATCCCAACTTCCAGGCCCCTAAAGAGCCTCCTAAGTTAAACAGGGCAGAAAACACATGTGGACAAAAATACTCTTTGTTACTGACTGATTCAACTTTTGGGTCCAGGTGCCCGTTTGAGCTTTGGATTGTTGGGTAAGTTCCATTCAATGCAAGGAACAAAATCAGATTCGGTTAACTTAAGGTGGGGAGAAGGAATGTAGTGGGAGGACCCTGTTGTGGTCAGAGAACTGAAGGATGAACCTGAGCTGCCAATCAGAGAAGCCCCAGGGGTCAGGAACCCAGTCTCCGGAACAGCCATTCATGCGGCTCAGCACCACACACTCCCAGCTCTGCATCTCTCGGCCCCGGTGGGCAGTTCTTGGGAAGGAGAATCCAACTGGCTCAGTTTTGGCTGGGAGGATCAACACCCTGTGGCCAGTGATGACAGAGCCCAGCCCTGGAGATGGAGTGCCCCAGAAAAAAGGGTTGATTGTGAGTCACATGGGCTTCCCTACAGTGTGCTTCCCTGAGACTGGGCATGAAAGGCAGAGGAGAGGGCACTCTGAGTGTCAGGGAGGAAGGTGAGCTGCATGTGGAGGAGGGATAAGAGAGGGGACACCAGGGGCCTTTCCTTTGTGGGGTCCCTTCCCATCCTGAGGCACTCACCAGGCCTGCTACTGATGGCAAAGATAGTGAACAGGCTCATGGTGGCCCAGGAGTGGATTGGGGATATGTTGGCTCTGGCCCATGCTTTAAGGGAGCAGGGTGAAGGGGGTTGGAGATTTCTCCACAGTTCAACCCACTCATAGAAGTTTCCCAATGGTTTAGCAGGATTCCAGCTATTTGGGTCCTGGATATTGGGAGTTAGATAAGGAGGCTCCACTTGGAAAGCCTGGATGGGATCCCAGACCAAGCGAGATGTGGACCTGTGTGTTGACTCAGGCATCCAGGGGTTGGGAGGAGGATTTATAATACCTTAGACTACAGGTGGAAGATTGGTCCTTCAGCTCTGCGTTAGCAGGATCAGACAGAGTCCCTCGTTCTTTTTCTCTCCTGTGCTAAGGCAACGGTGCATAACTATTCCAACCCGTGCCCCTCTCAGGGCACCCAGGCAAGGGACGGCCAGGGTGGCACGCTCCTCTGGGGATTCCCAAAGCTGTTCTCCATTGCACTGAGCCCTGCCCCTGCCCTCTGCCACAGCGCACAGCCTGCTGTGTTTAGTCCTGCTAGAGCTCTCGGGCTAGCCAGACTGGGATTCTGCCCTGCAGTGCCTGGTGAGAGGACCAGCCTGTTGGTTCCTGCATTGCTTGACCCCAGGACATCCTAAGTCAGGGTGGACGTTAATAAGCCCGACCTTTGGAACTGTGTGGGTGAGACAGCCAGAGGGAAGGGCTGGAAGGCCAATCCCTGGAGACCAGAGATCAGAACAGGCCTTGCCCTCCAAGTTATTTTGGTGCCAGAACGTCCCGATACGCCCTCCAGGTGCTGGCTTGTTTATGGCCTGCAGCTGGCCACCCTGGGGAGGGAGTTGGGGAAGGAAGTGAGCAGCCAGTTGCCCTGAGCGGGATGTGGAACCTTGGCTCAGCTCAGCCTACACATTTGTCGGGCTGTCTACTGGCATGTACAGTCCCTTGGTATCAGAAGGCAGGAAGTCTGTGTGCAGGTTGGATGTGTGGCCCAGGGTTTTTGGGACAGATGCAGTGCAAGAAACGGAGTAAGAGCAGTTGAAAGTGCTGCACAGAGAAAGTTCTAAGGGCTGGGGAACGGGGATCCCTGCCATTGATGGAGAGCCTGCCTTGTGCCAAGAACTTCACATCTGACACCTAACCATTCCAATAGTACTTGTAAATCAGTAGCGTCATTCACATTCATTAGACAAGGAAATTGGGATTCAGAGAGGTTATGTATCTCATGCAAGGTCAATGAGAGTTAAGGCTTGAATGCTGGTGTCCCTGAGTCTATTAGCAGACCTTTGCCCACTGTATGGTGCTGAATGGAAGTAGGGAGTTTGGTGGAGTGTGGGGGGCGGGAGATTAACATTTAGGATTCAATAACTGCCCTTGCTATTTTTTTTCCGTTGAAATTTTCAGGCCAGGCGCAGTGGCTCATGCCTGTAATCCCAGTGCTTTGGGAGGCCGAGGTGGACGGATCACAGGGTCAGGACTTCGAGACCATCCTGGCCAACATGGTGAAACCCTGTCTCTACTAAAAATACAAAAAATTAGGTGGGCATGGTGGTAGGTGCCTGTAATCCCAGCTACTCGGGAGGCTGAAGCAGGAGAATCGCTTGAACCGGGAGGCAGAGGTTGCCCTGAGCTGAGATTGCACCATTGCACTGTAGCCTGGGCAACAGGAGGAGACTCTGTCTCAAAAAAAGCAAAAGAAAAAAAAAGAAAGAAATGTTCTTTTCTTTTCTTTTTTAAAGTAGAGACAAGGTTTCACCATGTTGGTCAGGATGGTCTCAAACCCCTGACCTTGTGATCCACCTGCCTCAGCCTCCCAAAGTAAATTTTCATTGAGATAATTGCAGATTCACATGCAAGTGTAAGGAGTAATACAGAGAGAACCTAGGAACCCTTTACCCAATTTCCTCCTGTGGCCACATTGTGTAAAGCTACAAGTACGATATCACACCGGGGTATCAACATGGGTGCAGTCGACCCATCTGACTCAGATCTCCACAACCAGTCTTGTACTAGCGTGTGGATTTAGTTCTCTACAATTTTGTCACATGAGTGGTTAATTTCTTTCTAGGGTGTCTGTTTTCCTCCTCCTTTAACATTTAAAACAACTGTCTTCCAGTTTAATTTCACAGGACTGAGTCGCAATTACTGATCTTCGAGGAGTAGGGCAGGTGGGAGGTGGGAGTTGGGGACGTTTGGAAATGTGTGTGGTGGTTTTTGGTTTTCACATGCTTGGGGACCAGAAGGTATATGTCACATGCAGTGGAGAAATGTCCTGCTTCAAATGTCAATCATGACCCTGGTTCAGGGTAAACATTGGATGATTCCCATGTTTTCAAGTTTCCCGTTTATATTCTCCAGTGTGAAGCGGTTCTTTCTGACAAGAGTTGCACCTCTTCACTGACATGTCACGAAGAAGGATTAGGTTGGACGTGAAGTGTGTTATTACCGCCACCTTGATATGCCCTCAAGGTGGGGTAAGCTCAGGGAGCAGACTGTCATTAGAGATGATTCATAGCATGACTCATTCAATAAAGAGGCACCGGAGGGAATGTGCTCTTCCAGGCCGCTGCTTTGGGGGAGTTGATGTCTCAGCCCTTCCTGAGATCTCCAGGGGAACCGCACTTCGCGCTCACCTCGAGAACAAAAAAGCGGCTTCATCATCAAAGAACGTTTATGCTGGAGTTTTCTTTAAGAACATCGTTCTTACCAAACCTAATCTTCTTTTTTTTTTTTTTATACACTTTTTATTAGGAATAGTTTTAGATTTACAGAAAAGTTGCAAAGATGTTATATTGAGGCACTCCACATCCAGAAGCCCATATTATTAGCGTTTTGCATTACTAGGGCACATTTGCCACACTGAATGACTCAAATTTTGTTTCCAGTAAAATAGACATATATTTCTATGATTAATTTAGGTCCAGGGGGCAGGCAGGTCCATGTGCAGGTTTGTTACATGGGTAAATTGCATGTCATGCGGG